TTCTAAGTATTCCTTTATATGTGGTTCAGAGTTCTGGGACCATCCCCTGAGCCTGCTTGGTCGGGTATTCTGTGTTGTTGTTGGCAGAGCTCTTTGCTACACATCCACCCGATCCGCCATCTTGTTTGTTCCCACCCCAGCTGTTCTTGACAAGCCAATATTTATTGTTAGCAGAGTCTGGCCCTTCAAAGCCATAGCAATATACTATGGTCCAGGTTCTTGCTGCTTCAGTGTGAACCATAATAAATTCCATGTCACCAAAGGCTTTCATGGCTATTGTAAAGCCATGTTCCCTAGGCTGTATTCCCGATGGTACAGTTCAATCATCTTGACATTTTTCTCCCATACTGCTCTCCTCCAACCTTCTTCATTCACTCCATATGGTTTCTTGTATGTTGACCTCCACTGGTACCATTCTGTACCTAAAGTTTAATCATGTTTTAGAGCAGCTGAAGGTATTCCCACACAAAAAGCCAGAAAGAGTGACAGATTCATGTTTCAAAAACCTGCGGCTGCCGTGGCTGCCATGGCTGGCGCAGGCAGTCAGTAGATGTGGGGCTGGGCAGGGGTCTCTGTTGCTCACGGTTGTCATTTTTCCCTTTTAGGTATCCTAACTTTCAGTTTCTCACAATCCATTGTAATCTTTTCTGACAGTCACATGTCCTCTCTCTATAGTCTCTGCCCTTTCTACCTAATCATATCCTTTGCTCTTATCACCATAGTGATTTCTCTCATGCCCTCCCCCTTATTTTGTTCATCATCCATCATTGCTCAGGTCAAAAATAGATAGAGAAATAGAGAGAGAGCCTTTCAGTTGAAAGACACTAAAGAAGGATCCTTTCCACCATATCATTTTATAGATGAGGAAGCTGAAGTTGAGAAGTAATGACGAGTTTGTCCAAAGGCATAGACCAGTAATTACCCAGTAATTAGTAGAACCAGTGTTCTCTTGGTGATGTGTTGAGGTGTCATCAGGAACTGGTTGGGAGATTGGCCATATATTACACTGTGAATACTGTTAAGTTTGTGGATTTATTTTCTTTTGCTTTTTAAAGGAAACCTTTCTTCCATGGCCCATGGCATAGTATTGAGTTAAGCCAACAGAACAATTTCCTGGTAAGCATTTGGTGGAGGCATGTTGGGTGGCTCAGTGGTAGAATTCTCATCTTTTTATGTAGGAGATCTGAGTTCCAGTCACTGCCAGGGCCCCTTAGGTGCAGCCCCTATCCCATCTGTCTCTCATCCATCATTGAAAGCAGCTTGAGTATTGCTATGATGTTGTACAGGTTTCAGCATCGCTTCCAGACTAAACAGCCTCAGAAGAAAGACTTGGTGATCTACTTTTAAAAATTAGCCAGTGAAAATCTATGGATCACAGTGGCTCACTCATGGGGATGGCATAGGATCAGAAAGCATTTTGTTCCATTGTGTTTCAGGTTGCCATGAACTGGGTGCCAATTCAACTGCAGTTAACAACACAAAAAGTATTTGGCTTATTTTTGAAAGTAACAATGGCAACTTATTAAAGTCAAGTGATATTTTTTTCTGTTCATTTTCTTCTAGAAGTTTTGATAATTTAATTCTCTTTGGGGAAGGGGAAATACGTCTTAAAAAGACTCTCCTTACCTATATGGTTTCACTCTTTGATTTTCTAGCACTGACTTAGACGCTGATTGGAGTCGCACCTGAGGATGGCAAGTGTGCGCTGCAAGCTGGCCTATTACTTGGAGGACCTAGAAGACATAGACTTTAAGAAATTCAAAATGCACTTGGAAGACTATCCTTCCCAAAAGGGCTGCATTTCACTCACCCGGAGTCAGACAGAAAATGCAGACCACCTGGATCTAGCCACTCTGATGATTGACTTCAATGGGGAAGAGAAGGCATGGAACATGGCCATATGGATTTTTGCTGCAATCAACAGGAGAGACCTTTATGAGAAGGCTAAAATGGATGAACCAGAGTGGAGTGAGTGGAAGAAAGACAACATGTTTTTCTTTTAACATTTCTTGAATGATCTTGGCTTTATTCTCTTTGTTCCTCTCATGGTAGTGCTGTAACAAGATGGAAGAAAACACTTTGCTTTATTTTAACTCTTTAAAAATCCCAGATCAAGTCTTGACTATGCTTAGGGACCCACCCTGGTTAATCCAATTTATTTGAAGAGATCACTTTGTCTGGAACTGCCTCCACTTCTATATCCAGATGGTGGCATCATTGTTTCTGTCCAGAGCTTGAGTCAGCAAGCTTAAGTCTCTGCTTTTGATGGCCCAGGGGCCCTCAGAAGATTTTGATATAATTATGTAGTTTGTGGGACAAAGTCTTTCCCATGACCACTACTTTGGGAGTTGAAATGGTAAAAGAAATTCTTTTAATCCTGTGTATATGTTGGGGATGAGGTACTTCCTTTTGGCCCAGTGTTTTAGGCAAAGAAGGACATATGGAAGTCCTCAAAGGAACCTGGAAAACCATAGGCTGATGATATTGAGCAACTAGTGGTGGAAGAAAGGAATAAAATGAATTAGCAATTAAGAAAAGCATGAAAAGTTGGTGCTGTGGTAAGCGTGAACCGAGGGAAAATAATAATGCAATGAGAAAGACAATAAAAATTCCAGGTGTAATGAGTCTGAAGTACATACTTGTTTTATTTTAGTGCTGTTGAGTCAGTCAGTTCTGATTCATTGTGTCCCTGTACAGGATTTCCAAGGAGCAGCTGGTATGTTTGAACCACCAACCTTGTAGTTAGCAGTCCAGTTCTTATCCTATAATGTCACATGAGGACTCCAAAATACATAGTAGTAAGATGTTATAAACAAATTAAGTATCATAATTATGTTGTTGTTAAGTACCGTTAAGTTGGTTCTGATCCATAGTGACCGTGTAGAGGGTTTCTGAGGAATAGCTGGTGGGTTTGAACCACTGACTTTGAGGTTTAAACTGACCTTTCAGTCTAACACATTATCCTGAAGTGCCACACGAATATAGTGTATCAATATTTACATACTCATTGGTGTCCTGGTGTGGTGCTTTGGGTTATTGTGCTGGACTGCAAAGTCATTTGAACATCAAGGTCTGCGGTTCAAGCTCACCAGCCACTCCTCGTCAACCCTCAGTTGCAATGGGTTGGAACTGAGTTGACGACGCTCAACAACAACATAATCAAATTAAAGTATAATAAGTACAATAACTGCTTTGCTAAGCCATGTTCGTGGATTTTGCTGTTCATGCCTCACAAGAACCCTGTGAACTAGTTACTGTTTTTATACATATTTTCAAATGAGCAAGGCTAATCTTAAAGAAGTTCTAATTGCCATTTTAGTCAAAGCCAAGACCAGGATTCAAAGTCACATGTACCTTTTGCTAACGTTTGGCTCTTAACCACTATGCCATATTGGCTTCTGTGTGGGTAATATCTAATGTCCACTTTTTACCTCTCTGCCAATTCTGTTCTCATACCAACTGTACCAGAAGCACTTTCTTCTCTGATCCTAGCCACTTGAAGTTTGATCCGATGTCACAGATTAATGGCCATAGTTCTCCAGACTACCAAGTCTGCTCAAGATTTTAGATGTAGGATTGGAAGCCTCCAAGGCTCTGCATGCTTCTGACCTGCTGACCATAAATTTGAGGATTTTCTCTGTACTCTAAGGAGCTCTGGTAG